AAAAGGCATACAATAAAATTAATTGGGACTTCTTCCAATTAACCCTATCAGATTCTGGTTTCCCTAATTCCATTATTCGTCTGATCATGAATAGCACAAAACTCATAACTCTCTCCTTGAAGTGGCATAATGAAGTGTTGGATCCTTTTTTCCCAACCAGAGATTACGTCAAGGTGACCCTTTATCATCATATTTATTTGTATTATGCATGGAGAAACTTGCAATTCTAATCCATCAGAGAGTCTAATATAATAGTTGAAAACCTGTCCGCATTTCTAGAGGAGGTCCATCTATTTCACACATGTTTTTCTTGATAATTGCTCACTCTTCACCAAAGCAAAAGTTGCACGAGTTAGACTAGTAACACAAATTTTGAATGATTTTGGCCATGCCTCAAGCTTATAAGTCAACCTCCAAAAGGAAAAAATTCTAAACATCTAGAAATATCCATTCTAACAAGATTAACAAGTTTAAAGACATCTCTGGCTTCTCCCTACTAAAGATATCGATTAATACCTTGACTTCCCAATTTTAGCCAGAAGAGTCAAAAAAGTCGACTTAAATTTCATTTTTGATAACCTGAACTCTCGGTTGGCAAGATGGAAAATGAGCCTCCTTCCTCAATTATGAACACCATACCAAATACCAAATTATATCATGCACAACCTCTAGCTCCCACAAGGTGTTTGTGATGATATTAACAAATGCATAAGAACCTTTATATGGGGTGGCCATCACAAGCATTGGGCCAACTAGGAAGTGGTGACAAAAACAAAGAAAAATGGAGGCCTTAGCACCCAACCAACCAGGGATGTGAATACAACTCTTTTAGGGAAACATTTATGGGACCTTATTGGAGAGACACATAAGCTTTGGACTAAACTGTTGGATCCCAAATACCTTAAGACAAATCTATACTTCGAATGAAAGACTACTAAGGGAGATATCACACTTGGCAATCCATTATTAAAGCCATCGAGATTTTGGAGAAGGGAACTTATCCATTTGGTTTGATATGTGAGCTATACAATGACCACTTTGCAACCTTTTGGACTATGTCCATATCCAAGACTCCCAATATAAGTTACATGATATTTATGATGATGGAGTATATAACTGGAATGCTCTAGCTACCTCTTTGAATCAGGAAGTCAAGGACATCCTTTGTAGCACCTTCCTTCGTGAAAACACCAGGGATAAAATAAACTAGAGCGCCTCTCCCATCAAGGATTACACTACCTATACTACATACAAATGGCTCTATAGAAACAACAATGGTTAAAGTATGACCAATAACAACACGTCCTAGATTTGATCTCTCAAGATCTGTGATAATATAAAGCACTTCATATGGCATATTATCATAAATTGCCTTCCTACCACGTTACTTCTCTTCCAATGTCACATGACACCCAACTCGAGTTGTCCACGATGTAGAAATCATAATAAACATTGGCTCCACCTTCTTAAAGGCTGTGATGACCCACAAGTTTGGGGCCACACTACCAATTTGAATTTCCTACAACAACTAATATATAGGAATGGCTTCGCCAAAACCTTCTGGAAAATAGAAGTAAACTTTTTGCCAACATGTGCTAACATCTTTGGAAATCTAGAATTGATTTTATTTTTAATAGAAAAAATTGATCATTTTGGATAGGGATGGCAACGGGGCGGGTCGGGTACGGGTTTCATGATACCCGTCCCCGTCCTCGCGAGTCAAACTCATCCCCGTCCCCGTACCCATACCCGTCAGGTATCGGGTATACCCGTACCTATACCTGTACCCGTCAATTTTATTTTTTATTTTATAAAAATATATGATATTTTTAAATTATTTTTTTTATTATATTATAATTATAATTAAGTTATTTCTCTATCTCATATTATAATAAATAATCACACATAAAAAAATATTAAAATTCTTTAATATAATTAAATTGAAAGTAAGTATTAAATTAAAAATGAGAACGGGGACGGGGCGGGTAAGTACATACCCGTACCCGTACCTGATTTAAAGTATCGGGTTTTACCTGTACCCGTACCCGTACCCGTACTCGGTCAAACCGAGTATTCCCCGTCAAAGTCAGGACGGGTTCGAGTATTACCTGCAGATACGAGTATATTTGTCATTTCTAATTTTGGAGGCTCTTAAACATGATTAATTCATTCCTACACTTTATATAGGCAACTTCCTATCACCACTTCAAACAAACAACACCGGAGTGTTAAGTGGCATCGAACTCGGGGAATGTTTGTCAAACTTAACACGGATGATAACTCACATAATAATATGGGAAAAGTTAACTTTGGTGGTATTCTCTGGAACTCAGCCAGTCAATGGCTCATTGGGTTCATGGAAGCTTGTGGTATTAATTATTCACTTGCAGTTGAACTTCATGTTATTTACAATGGATTAAAGATAGTTTGGTAGGAAAGCTATAGACATGTAATATGAAAATTTGATTCCAAAAGCACATTCAAATTGATTACTAATGGAGTAAATGAAAACTATCTTCATGCACCCCTTGTTAATGCAATTAGATCACTCATGGATAAATTTTGGAACATCATCTTCTAACATACTCTTCGAGAAGTGAACTCTTGCATAAATTGACTAGCAAACAAAGGAGCTATGGAGAATTCCTCTCAAACAATCCTTACATCTTGTCCAATAAATTTAGATTTTATGATATTTGATGATGCTATAGGAACTATAATTATAAGGAGCATTAGTATCTGTACTATTTTTTATTTTTTTTTTATTTTCTCACTAATAAAAAAAATATTGTCGACAAGCAAAAATATATACAATATCACCTAAAACGTAGATGAACTATATATTTCAACGGGACTCAAATTTAAGTCCCGGGTAGTGGAGTCATGTTAAAAAATCGGATGGAGAACTTCACTAATAATACTTAGTTCATCATCATAGACTATTTAGATATCAATCTATTAACAGATGCTAGTCGTCTTAGATAAAAAGTTTAAAAAAAAAAAAAAAAAAAAACTAGACTGAAATTGTTTTATTTATGGCATGTTCGAATTAAACAATCATTTTGTTTAAATTTTTTATTTTAAAAACAGAAAATGCGGGAACATTTTTATAATCACTAATAATAATAAAAACTAAACATTTCCTTCATGACGATTATGGAGAAACTTTCTGATGTTAGAGAAGCCAAGTCAATTGTCAAATCACTAGCTTCACATGAACTGCACCTACACGCTCCACACAAAATTGTTTTACCATGATGTCTAGTTCTCCTGCGCATGGTTGACTTGAGAATCTTCCTTCAATATTGGATCAATTCCTGGAGATGATTCGGTTGCTGTAATGCAATTTTTAATCCAGGAATCATCAAAATTGTTAGCCTGGAAAATCTTGCTCAACTCAGCAACACCATCAACACCAGTCTCTTCTTCATAGTACTTGAGAAAAGCCCCAACAAGCTTTGGTGAAGGACGCCATTCATCACCCTTGACTTCTGATAGTGCCGCCTCTAAGTGCCTCACAGCACCATCCAACTGACGCTTCTCCAAGAAAAACATCATGAACGTTTCCCTTATCCTAAGTAAAGGCTGTTTGCTCCTCCTACTAGCCCCCTCAAACACCAATGCAGCTTCTTCCACCATGTCCTGGTTCAAGTAAGCACTAACACAAACACTAACTAACCTCACGTCATAACTAGCACAACTAGACTCCCACTCCTTAAAGCATCTTGTTATGCCCTCCACATCTTTAAGCCTTCGGAGGGTACTAAGCATGATAAGATAGCTGACATTGGTCACAGGGGAGACAGACTTGAGGGAGTTCCACACCCTATGAACCTCTCCAAGATTACCAATCCCTGCATAGAGGCCAAGCAAGCAATGGTACGCGTCACGCTGTCGCGGCCTCACTTGTTTCTCCATCATCTTAAGCATCATCTCAGCCTTCTCAAAGTCCTTAGCCTTTGTATAAATAGCAGCAAGGTTGCTGTAAGTCTGCCAACCAATTTGGTTTCCATCTTCCCTTTTCATCTCCTCATAGACACTCTCCACCGCGCCAAGATCGTTCAAAGCAGCGCAGCTGTTCATCCAGACATGATATGTGAATGCTGACAAGGGAATGTTCCTGTGCTTCATATCACGCACCAGCTGAGGGACCTTCATGGGTTGACCAAGTCTCATGAACATACCCATGAGATTGTTGAAAGCCAGAGAAGTTACATAACCCAATTCATCCATTTTATCAAAATGACCTAAAGCCTTGTCGGTCATTAGTTCCTTGCAATAACAGTTCAAGAGAGCACCGTAGGTATACTTATTCTTGGCTGGAGGGGGAAGACCGCTGAAAAATTTCTCAGCAGCAACTACCCCTTTGGCTTTCGACACAAGATCTAAATAAACTGCGTAGTTATTCCAGGAAAAGTTAATTTTCCTCATCTCCATCCATTCTATTATCTGCATTCATTTTAAATGATAAACCTCAACAATCAACATATATCGAAATTTAAGGCATCAATGTAAAAGTTTCCAAAATGGAATTTTGATATTTGATACCTCGAGTGCGTGCTGGAATCTGCGATACTTTCGGAGCTGCTCGACGCATCTCTCGAGTTCTTGTTTTCTGACGGCTCTGCCGTGCATTATGTAGTGGTCCAAAGTTTCCGACACGCTACCTCCGGTCATGTCCAGCGCCGATAACATTCGATAAAGGTTTAGCTTCTTCGCCGGAGTCTCGGCCGCAGTGCACAGTCGCCGGAGCATCCATCCTCCGCCGGAAATTAGACGGGCGTAATTCATCTCCGTCGCTCTAAGATCGTGCCACAGCCGGGTGCTGTTTGTCTCTTATTGAAATCCCTCGGAGGGGTTTTGTTAGGGTTCATCAAAACGCACCACGTGGCGTCGTTTTGAGTTTCACTTGAATTAGCCGGTAACCGGTAACCTTTTCTGTTTTTTTTTTTTTTTTTAAACTGAACAGTGAACAGTGAGGTAGTTTAGTTTGGTTAGGGTGAAGAGAAATGAAGGTGCTAGGCATTGTGGTTGGTGGTGGTGGTGCTGCTCCTGTGGTATGCAGTTCGAGTGTTCGGAACCATCGTTTTCGCGTTTCGTTCTCTTCTCCTTTGTCACCGGGATCCAAAACGGTGCGTATCTTCTTCTTTTGTTTTTCATATTCATGCAACGAAATTCGACTCGTATAATTAGTTAACTGAATTGAATCAGGTCGAACAAGTGGGAATTGCAGCTGCGAAACCTGAATACAAGCCAGGTGTGTTTGATGATTTGTTTCTCAATTTGTTCCGCAGCAAATTGGTACAGGTAAAGAGAGGCTTCTAGATTCTTCTTCTTCTTTTATGATGTTATGTTATTGCAATAGCTGAGTGTGAATGGTATTAACAGGAGGTGGGGTGGGACTCAAAGAAACCTGGGTATGATGGACTAATTGAAGTTGCGAATCTTCTAATGAAGAAGGGCACTACCAACTCTGATACCGTAGAAACAACGGTATTTCCGTCTTCTTTTTTTTTTTTTCTCTCTCTCCCTTTCACCTTCACTCTCAAACTTTCATTTACTCAAGTACCCCTTTCAGAATTTTTCTTATACATTAGTATCAATAGCTTTTCACTTTGTTTGATAAATAAAAAACATGGTCCCAAAATGTTCACCTAAAACTAGTCTTGTATCTGTATCTGGCTCCTTAAAGATAAGAAACTGTATAACGCGAGAAAGTCAAGCCCAAGCTAATTAGTTTTATTCAGCACCAGAAGAGGAATATTCAGACAGAATCTTTTCTGGTCTGTACTAGCTGAACATAGAAGCTAGTTATATTATTTTCCTATAGATTATGATAATAATTCTTATATGATGAAGCGTGAGAACATACTTTGCAATAAATCCTGTATGTGAATATGAATCCTCGAAATGGGGTCAGAACAAGTTTAGGAACAAATATTGTTTGGTAAAATCATTTCAAATGAAGTAGAAGAGAGTAAAACTTTTGGCTCAAATAAAATGTAAAAAAGCTGATTATGTAAAAAGCTGCATCTCATTTATTTTATAGTAACTAACTAATTCACCCTATATGGTTTTCTTATATGTTTTGAATGGTCATGTTGTCCGAAACTAAGTTCGCTAGCTGTTGTGACTTGTGTCAGGTACGAATATTGAGGTCTCTGTTCCCTCCATATCTTTTGGAGCTCTATAAAATGCTCATTGCTCCTATAGGAGGAGGCAAAATTGCCGCTATGATGGTTGGTGAGTCTGATCAGATTCATTTCATTTTTCAATTCATCTAGATGAATCCCAAATCTTGGTCCTGCTTGATGTTCCTTTGAACGTAACAGACTAAGAAACTTGTTTAGATATTGTTTCTGGTGTAGGACACACACTTCAATAATCTTGGTTGTCTCGGGTCAGGTGTAGGGTTACGGTCTTCTCGTTCTTATCCAGGTGGTCTGATGAGAGGGGGGGTGTGCCTGCAAAGACACTCCAACGCTCAAGTAAGTGCTCGGCGTAATAAATGCGGTAGTTGAAAAGTTAATTACATACCTCGTTGGGGCTCTATTTATAGACGCTGGTATTGGGCCGTGATTAAGAATTGGGCCCCGGAAAATTAGGGGGTTAATCCAATATATTACGCTAATTAGACTCTATAATCGGTCTGGCAAAGGCACAGAGATTGACCGACCAACCCGACACGTTTCCTCGCTTATGAGTGGTCGGTGGGCTAGGGTGATCGGCGTAATTATTAAGGGGTCGGGTCCTCGGCCTAATCACTCGCGGGCTCGGGTATTCGGCCTACTCGTTCGCGGGCTTGGGTATTCGGCCTAGTCGGCCACCATACGGTATACAACCCCCGCAGCGTCAAGGATAGGAAAGACGAAGACGGTATAAGCTGCGTAGCGCTTTATTCGACGTCTTAACCGTGTGAAATGGTGGCGAGATCTCAATGGGAAAGCGTGCCGATGTCTGATGTGGAAGACGTCTAAACTGAGGTTTCGGATGGCAGGAGCTTCGTCAATGCCTCGGGTAACTGGAAACTGTGTCGCGCCAAGGGGGAGTGGGGTCTAGTTCTTGATAGAGGGTGTCTAGAATTCGAGCTAGGCCTCGTGGAATCGCGCCGAGACCGAGAGCTCTGACGTAAGGAACTTCACCGAGACCTCGAGTAACTGGAATTTGTACCGAGGCCTAGGGTGAGGCAATGCCCAGATCGAGAACTCGGGCGTGAAGGATTGCACCGAGAGCGAAAGCTCGAGCGTAAGATGCTGCACCGAGACCACGGGTAATTGGAATTTGTACTGAGGCCTAGGGTGAGGCGATGCCCGGACCGAGAGCTCGGGCGTGAAAGATGGCACCGAGAGCGAGAGCTCGAGCGTAAGAAGCTGCACCGAGACCACGGGTAATTGGAATTTGTACCGAGGCCTAGGGTGAGGCGGTGCTCGGACCGAGAGCTCGGGTGTAAGATGTTGTACCGAGACCTATGTTGGCGTAGCTTTCCATGTTGGCCCTGGCGGTTACAGGCCCAACGGTTATTAAATCTGGACCGTTGGATACTTTTGATCGAGCGGTTAGGGTTTGAGGACGCCTGTTCAGTTTCCCCGTTTTACCTCGCCTATAAATAGAGGGGGGGAATTGTGGAAATTCACTCGCTGTAAATTCTTCGAGCTCTCTCGAATTCAAGCGTCGACCTAAACGTCCGAGCAAAGGTAAATTTTGTATTCGTTAATTCATAATAATAAATGGATAGGGGCTATTCGTCGGCAAGAAGTTGCTCATCGTCGGGCGAGTCGGACGGCTCGTCAGGTATGGAGGGATCGGACTCGAGTGAGGTGCTCTTCGGATCTGTGCTCGGCCTAGGTACGTCCTTAGCCGAGGAGGGTACTCGGGAGGGAAACCTGTTCGGCGCGAGTGCACATTTGAGTGATCGGCCGAGCGTAGTTCGGCGACGTAGGTGTTCCTGCATAGTGCTCGGCCTAGGTACGTCCTTAGCCGAGGAGGGTACTCGGGAGGGAAACCTGTTCGGCGCGAGTGCACATTTGAGTGATCGGCCGAGCGTAG